ACACAGCGCTCGGGTTAGCCGTTACACAGGCAAGGACGGCAGTGGGGAAACCCAAAATACCCGGCCAGGCATCGGCTGCAGCGCTGACCATCCACCTCCCGGCGGCAGGAGCACTGCCCCGTCACCTGGTCGCACAGCGTGCTCAGCGAGCCTTGTGGGTGGCACTCACATGCTGGAAAACACCAAAAGCAACGCTGTGTCCTGAACCTATTCCCACCAACCCCGCTCATCACTGACACAGCTTGAAGGCAGTGCGAGCAGCAGGGATGGAAGATTCATTATTTGTGGAAACATTTTTTGTATCTCTGCACATAATCATGGATTCAAAGTCCCAAAAAGTTGGGGTATGCATGAAGAGGTATATGCAGATATTGGTACTCGTGCTGGCTGCCAAGTACTCACCGTAGCAGCCGTGGAAGCCGAAGCCATAGCTGCCTGCAGAGCAGGTGTCACAGCAGCGTCCCACAACATTGGCTTTGCACTGACACTGCCCCCCCAGTTTACTGCAGCTGGCATTCAGTGACCCTTGGGGATTGCACTTACATGCTGCCAAGGGGAAAGAAAATCAAAACAGGTCTGGTTATAAAGGAGTATGACTGCTTTTGCAAACTTGCAGGTTTACATTTAAAAATAGGAAGGAAAGAGATTGATTATTCTCATCAGGGGTTCACTAACCACTGATAGCCACGGCTTGATTTATTCTGTAGCATCAATGGTGATGGTGTATCTGCACAAGTCTTGGTGTTGGAGCTGCCACATTCAGGGCACTGCCTTCAGCACATATTTGGGATAGGACAGAAGAGGACGTAGCAAAATGTGGGTCAAAAATGGAGATATCCTGAAGTCTAGAAGAGTTTGATATAAACCTGTGTTTAGCTGCAGCAGTGAACATAACTTGCAACTAGTAGGTAGAGAGCCTGCACCTGTGTATTGTTTGCTGCCTTCTGGACTCCTTGGACTAACTTGCTGAGTGAAGCTGGCCTGCTAACTCACAGAGGATATTTGTCCAGGATGCTCAGATGCCAGTGCTAGAAAGCCAAAGTGCCATGTTTGATTGGGAGAATCCTGTCACTATAGGAATTAGGCTAATGGGGAGTCAGCACAGCCTAAACTTAAATGAGGGTTGTCTGTGGCTGCATAGCCATGACCACATCACATGATGTGTGAGTGAGGCATTGGTCCTTCTAAAAATAGCCCAAACGAAGCAGATGCTATCAAGTCCATTGAAGGCAAGGCTCCTTGAAAGGAGCTGCCTGCCAAAGTTGTCCAGAAAGGCCCCTCCTGTTACTGGAAGTGAAGAGAAGCTCCATTTCTCTGTGCCCAACACCAGGGAAGTCTCCTGAGTCGCCGAGCCCAGGAGCCCTTTCCACAGGGGGGTCCAGGAGGCTGCCTGGGGCTTCAAACCCCACTTGCCACTGCCCTCTTGCTGGGACACTGCCGAGGTTCTCTTGGTGAATCTCTTCCAGCCCATCAGCTTGTGTGCCATCATGCCTGGAGTCCTACCAGGGCATCCAGCTGGCCTGCAGCATCCATGGAGAGGGCTTAAAAACTCCTGTCATCACATTCCCTGCCATGCTGCTCCATGAAGCTCATCAGGAGTGATGGATTCTGAGAGCCATGCCACCAAAATGTTTGCAGCACACTTAGGG